TCTTATATTAAATTAAATTGCAATTCTCAAATATAAATGAAGGGAAACAGGAGGCATATTTTATAATTTAAATAAATATATTTTATGCTAATTTTGTTTCATTGCATGCCTTAAATGTTAACGTCTCATTAAAACAATAGGTCCTCTTATTTTGCTTTTTTATAATCATATTTTGATACCAAATCAATCCATGCATAAACTAGAAATCTAATTTCAGTGCCATTAAGCCGAAAATTTACCTTTTCACAGAGAGAATAAACAACAATGAAAATCCATATACTCCAAATATTTAAATTAAATAAAGTTATCCAAGCGTTGATACTCCAGGCCTTTTATATAATTTTTTTTTCCTATGAATAAAACTCGAAATTCTAGAACTATTAATGATGTGCTTCATTTTAACTTTCATTAGCTTTTAAATTAGTTTCATGCACGGATGGATGCAAAGCTTATGAAGTTTGAATATTTGACGTTTGCTTACTCATGCCATTTTGGAATGTTATGATCGCTTGGAGTCCTTAACTGCTTTCAGCAAATCAGAATAAATATTTTTGTTCCTTTTTCTCTTTCATTTACTGTTTTTTTTAAAACAAATTAGCTTTCACTCTTTTTGGATAAGCTACTTTAAATACAATGAAGCTTGAAAGTAATTAGCTATATAAATATAGACGTATTATATTCCCCCATTTAATAAAAAATATAAAAATAAATAGTAGACGTTTTAGGCAATGAAATTAAAACCTATGGAAACTGAAATCTGCTCGGCAAATTTCAACTCATCATGTGTGAACATTCGGGAACGGAGGAATAAACTCAGAAATATAACAATTTTGATAATTCAAGAGATATTTGAAGCAATTGATTGGTATACTACAAGAATGGCCAAATTGAATGGAAGGAAGAAGGAAATATTCCAAATTCTACAAGAAACGTTATCACATTTAATAGCCAAAATAATATACAAAAGTAATATAAATGTAGTCGTGAATGAAGTATTCCAGATTCTACAAGAAACATTATCACGTTCAATAAACAAAAGAATATCTCAAAGTTTGAAAATTCTAGGCATAAATGAAGATTGAAGAATGAAGTATTCCAAATACAATAAGAAGCACTATACAGCTCAATAGGCATGGGAAAATTCCAAATGTGATAAATATGAAACTTCAAAAAGAAGGAATTGATCAACGCACTACGAGTACTTATAGCCATTGAATATACAAATGTGTAAAATCCCAACCTAAAACATGAAAAGTGATTCAATACTACAAAGCACTTCAAGCAAAGGCCAAATTCTCCAGAAAATTCCTGAAGAGTAACGCTATTCCTGAATCATTTCAAGAGTTAAGGGGCCCAAACTACCATTTTCCGCCAAAATTTGCAATGGAATTTTATTTGTTTGACCCTCATTTTCGAATAACGTCACGGACTCCTAACCAGGACATCATCATGTTCACACATGATAATAATATAAAAATTAATGTATAGAGTTATTATTTTAATAATTGTAAACAATTATTTATAACTCTACGTTATACTTAGCTTAAAAATAAAATTATTTAAATGAATATAATTTTTAAAGCACTGGGCAGTAAACAAGATGTTTGAGCATTGCGTTAATTGAATAATGAATTGAAATAATATTACCACCATTGCATAAATTGTAAAATAATAATGAAAATATAAAAACAATAAAACATATTATAATCATTCTATTAATAAAAGTAAACCTCTAAAGTATATGCAGTTTAAAATATATGAGTATTTAACTATCAGAAAAATTCCTAAAATTCTATAAACATCCCAATTTTAACATTTTTTTTATATATATATTCAATCCATATAGTTTACATGCAACTTAAAAATTTATTATAACTTGAAATTCGTTATCAATATTTCGTTGATTATTAGTTTTGTAGAAATATTTCCTATTTTATTTATTTCGTAGTTATGATCCAGTTTAAAGTTTTTCTTAATTACTTAATTAAACTCAATTCATTCAAGAATATACCATGATTTTCAAAAATTATGGGCAAGTAGAAAATTTTAAATTACGCTCTCAAAAATAGTTATGCATAAGTAGGAAATTTGAAATTGCGCATTCAAAAATAAGTACACTTTCATAAAAGTTATGCAGTGAGCATAATAAGTGAGGCTGCATCAGACTATAATACGTCAGCTGTTGTAGTTTCTGTTGCTTAATGCTATTGGATTCATGGTTCAAAAGAAGATTTAAAAGCGTCTGAAGTTTCTGCAAGTATAAAATGCATATTAAAATTTCGAAATGTTTTAAATATTAGTAGCTCAAGGCCATTATCCGAAAAAGGACGAAGAAATAACATTAAAATCACAATGACATGAATATTTTCAAAGATCTGATGGCTCTGCATAAACATATAGATTATATACAAACATAAAATATGTTTATGCTTATGTTGAATGCTATGTTTATATAGAATATCTATGTATATATAGAGATTTTATATACAGACATTCGGCAATATAATCTGGATAACGCTGAATCTAATGTCTAATTTTCAGTAGCTAGTTATATCGGGGCATGAGCCTAGCATTTTGGAATTATTAACAAAAATAATATGGTAACTGTAACGATAACCAAACCAATTTAAAATTAGAAACTTATGTCTTTTAAAATTTATTTAAAATATTAAGCATTGTAAAAAAATTGTTTCTCATGTCTACATTTCTGGCATTAGAATAATTTTTGTTATTTTGATATTTTGAATATAACATTCAGTTATAATATATATATATATATATATATATGGAATTTAAATTTTTTTTCTTTCTTAGGTTGCTGGCACTGTCCATGACATCTGTGTGAAATTTGGCGTCAAAATATTCATTAGTGTTTGAGTTACGCTTGGCTTTGTGAGACGCTAAAACTGGTTCCGGCGATATTTGAATTGTTTGAATTAATTGAGCAAAGAACTTGCATTAAATTTTGTTTGCGGAATGAATATTTGTGTGCGGAAATGTATAGAACATTGCAGATGGCATTCGGTGAGCAAACTATATCGGAAAGAAATGTTTACAAGTGGTATAAACAGTTCAAAGAAGGCAGAGAACGCGTTGAAGAAGAAGAGCCCTCTGGTCGGAATCCACTTTAACATGATCCGTCTAACATGATCGTAGAGCGTTGCGAAGGTATAGTTACTCCGCGTCCGTAGCTTATTTTCAAGTTACACGGAACCTCCTGGGTAGTGCTAAGTGAGTAACGTCAGTGCAGCGCTTGCTTTAAGGCTTCAAAGACAACTGTCTATGTGTTTACCAGCTGCATTAGAACAAAAAAAATTTCCCGAATTAAATTTACAGTACTTTCAACATCAATTAATGTGAAAAGGACTGTTTCGTTGAAATTTATGTTGATAGAAACTAAGCGGTTACATTCGGATCCTTTAAATTCCTAATCGAAACTTAAGTTTTGGAATGAAAGCATATGCTTGTAATTGTGGTTAGCTCTTCTATTATTAGCATCTCAGTGATATGCTAAAACCAGTTGAGTGATTGTATCGCAAAGGTTTCTTCCATCTGTCGTGTGTAGCAGAACGATGTTGTTGGGTGTTAGTATTGTGGGTTCTTCAATTGCACCCATTATTTCTTTAGTTCCTAAAATTGAAAGGATAAGTCATCCAATTTTGTTTGAACTTTGTAGTATTTCTTTAATTATCGGTATACTACTATATACAGCACACATCATTGTGCATAGAGCTTAATTGCCAATACAGAGTTTGGCAATGATGTGGGTGAGAAGTCTGACTGGGAACTGTGACACTCTTGCAGCCATATGTGATCGGGACCTACGACTTAAAGTGGATTCCGAACCACTACAAACATTCATGGCATCGCCGGGACTCGAACCCGAAACCTGTGCCAGCAAGCGCCAGAGCGCTAGACATTCGGCCATTCAAGCCCCAATTCTCGGTATGGAATGGAGTTTTTATTTAGTTCTCATTCTTGCACTTTCGTAGTCATCTAATTCAATGTAAAGTTCGTCTAGAATTATTATTTGTGACCAATCATTAATGAAGTTGTCTCTTATATCTGATGAAGCCATTCATTTAATTTAATCACAAGTTATTAATTAAGTCTGATAATTGTTTGAAAGTTTCTACTTTCAATCCTGATATCCGTTCTGTGAAGTAATTTTTAATATGGTATGTAAAGTCAGTCCAAGTAATTTCTGGGCTTTAGTTATGAATCACAAAAAAAAAAAAAAAAAAAAAAAAAATATATCAAAAATTTTCCGAGTAATTTTAAAACGCTTTAGAAATAAATTTTTGACATAATCATAACTGTCTGCAATTTTTTCATCTTTTCTAGCAACAATCTGGTCTATGTTATTTGGCAGTAGGCCAACTAGGTAAGAAGCACAACATCGTTGGGGTTTTTTTTTTTTTTTTTTTTTTTGCATTATCTGCCTTTTGAATCTAATGTTCTAACAAAATAAGATAAAGACTAAAATCGTTATTAGCAGTATCAAATTTCTGCATTAAACTTTGAATACCAAATTTAGGTTTTGCGGCTGTTTTGTTTTCCAGTTTTACATTAAGATAATTGGTATCTCTTTCATTCTCTAATTTTAATATATTCCCTTCAAACTCAGTTTCATCTTTTGTTTCTTTCTTCGAATTCATTTTGGCGTTTCCTTTCTTCATTATTTTTTTGTTGAGTAAATATTAGAGTTTCCTTTCTTCACTTTTATTTTAAATTCATTTATCATTTAATTTCATGTTCATCTATTATTTTTAACTTAGAACAATATATTTCAAATACTTTCACAACCTTTAACTTTCCATCTCTGACTGATCCCGTAATTCTGACCTTCTCGATCCCTCACATGTAGGTAACTTCCAGATGATTAAATAAAGCAAGACATTTTTAAACAATAACAGTTTAATAAGAGGTTAAAAACTGAAAATAAGTTGTTCGGCAAGCAGCAACGATGATAATTTATTACAACAACGATTATTTAGCCAACGTCCATACCATGCTGAATATGCCGGTTCTCGTTAGATCACCGAAGTCAAGCATCATTGGGCGCGGTCAGTACTTGGGCAGGGTACCTGGAACAGTACCTGGGAACACCGCGTGGCGTTGGCATTCACAAATTTGGGACCTGAATGGCTGAGTGTCTAGCGCTCTGGCGCTCGGTGCCACAGGTTTCGGGTTCAATTCCCGGCGGTGCCATGAATATTTGTAGTGGTTCGGAATCCACTTTAAGCTGTAGGTCCCGGTCTCTTATGACTGTAAGAGCGTCACGGAGCCAAAGTCAGACTTCTACCTACGGGTGTTCCATCACAACAGAAGCTGCTTCCTTCCCCTTCAATCATGAGTACGTATGGGCTCGTGGGCATGGCCAGCCAAGTGGATAAGAAACAACAACAACGATTATATTCGCTGCAAACATAAAAAAGCAAAATGTGCATAATAATAAGAACATTTATAATTCAAGAAATTAGTAACATATATATATATATGTTACTAATTTCTTGAATTATAAATGAAAAATAAAATAAATTAATAGCATATATGCTATTAATTAATTTTATTTCTTTTCTGTGTGTGTATGTGATGGCTTATTAGATAGTTTTTAGTGTTTTTTCAACAAATTCAACAATTCCTTTGAATTAGTTTTTCAATGGAAGTGACTCTCAAACGTTGTAGAAATTCCCTTTTAATGTCTACCCTCGTCAGTAGGAAGTGTTGACCAAGAAAGAGCTGACCTACGGAATAGAAAAGTGTACGTTCAGGAGCAAACACAGAAAATCAAAGAAACAGCGTTTTCTTTTCTTTCGTTGTCTTTTCAAGTAAATATATTTGATTCCTACCTTTTTCCCTGAAATTTTGTCCTTTTTAACTGAGGTTCAGTTTTCATTGCCTTATAATGATAAACTATTTTGCGATATATCATTTGAAATTGTTTTATTTAATGTATTATCTTACTTCTAATCGATAATTATTAACATTTTTGTGAATTTTTTTAATGGAGTTTGTATTGTCATGTAATATACTAAGGCACATAAAATATAATAGAACCTCTTTTTATGATTTTTCATTGATAAATATTAAAATTTTATAAACGTTTATTTTAATTACTACTAATAAATATGTACCAATTAGCATAGTAATCAGGGTATCAGATTTAATCAGAATCTGATGTCTAAGTATCATATTTAAAATAGTAATATTTTGATTTACAATTATTATTTTAATTTGAAAACATTATTCATAAATACATTTATTTTGTTTTATTATTCTAATATACTTTACCGGAGATTTTCAGACTGCAAAATATCAGCAATTCATATAATATTCTTATTGGAATAAATATAATATATAATATAATGAATATAATATATAATATAATGGATACAATATTATATAATATATGAATATAATATTCTTATTCTTATTGCCTTATTGGAAAATTCTTGTATCTCATTTGGATAAGAATTCCCTTTTATTTCTTTAATTTTTTACCAAATGTAAACATAAAAACTTGTGTTCCAGTAACCTTTTTTTCAAATTGGAAAACAATACCTTGTTAATATGTATATATAAATATCTTTTTTCAAAGAATTTAATCTTATTTAATGTTAACTTTTTTATTCGTGAAAAAAGAATCCTTTTTTTTAATAATTCAGAACCTATATTAGTTAAAAAAATTTATTATTTAATATCTTAGGAATAAATACTTAGTTAATTAAGATCCTAATATCTGACGTTAATTTAAAACAGATTTCAATTAGTGGAATAAATGGAAAATAATACCACACGACACTTTCTTGATTTTAATTAACAACGCAAATCCCCACCTTCCTTGATGGTTTCCTTTCTGGCCAGCTGTTCAAATAACGTAAGAGAGAGATTGCTTTTGAGAATACTCTTTTCGGCTTCTGGTTTAAAATGTAAAATACGTCTATTTGGACGTAGAATTCCAATTGTACTTATTGCTTCACAAAAATAACTGTTTTAACAATGCTATGAGAAATGAAAATTTAAATTTTCTGCATTGGAAACTATTGAATGAATAATTTTATCATAATTAAAACTGTTATTATTATCTGGTTTCTAATTTTTTTTAGTTTTACAGAATTAACCTTCTTAAAATGGGATATTAATTTTTGTTTTATTGTATTAATGATTTCAAACGCCTGTCCCTTGCTTTAAATCATTCAGTATTGGAATAGTAAATATGTAACATAGTAATTGTTCTGCTTTTCTGAGGATGAACCATAATAAAGCTGCATAACCGCCACCGCATTTGGTGGTACTGCATTTTGGAAAAAACATTTAGCCGAGGTTTTATAGGGGGCATATATTGTTATCCTTCCTTCGAGAACCTAATGGAAGAATAACAATGTATAATAATAATTATGCTTACACACGGGCTTTTCAATTTTATATCCCTTGTATCTCGAACTGATCTTCCTCACTTCTGAAACTTATCCTTGAAACTTAACAACAGACAATTCTGTTAGGTTTAGTCAAGTTAAATATAAAACTCTTTTAAAAGAAATTTATTTCTTTGTCGTGAATATGGACAATATTGTTTTAGTTGTTTATAAAATATCAATTAGGTGGCAGAATGAAGAGAAACGAGTTTCTTCATAGCGGTAATATAAAAATGTTGGCAAATTTAAAATCTCCTTTAAAAAGAGCAGTGGTGCTTAGTAACTGAAAGTGTAAAACGTATTGAAAATAATGATCGAATATAAGTACAGCATGATGAAACATACTATGACAGAACCACATCAAGTAAACAACTGGCATATTCACGTTTCTTTGAGACTGATTTCAGAACTTATTGTTCATCTACATGGAAGAATTACAAATTGCCCAGTTCTTTGGAATTTCTCTATCATCTTAATTCACCACGAAAAAGGACACAGATCATAACATTGGACTTATTTGAAAATATTTCCCTACCTTACTAATATACCTCATTATTTTCTAACTTTTTGACATTTTCATTGGGTATTAAACTTTCTTCATTACTTCTTGAGTTTTTTTTTTTTTTTTTCGTTCCAAAAAAGTATTTATTTCAATAAAAAAATTAATTAATACATTGATTAAATTATTTTCCATAGCTAGAAAGCTATTTTTTGCATTTCTCTAGAAAAATATTTCGTCATCGAAAGAACGACTCGTCTTTTGCAACCATCCATCAATTGAATTAATTTGTTCAAAAAAAATGAAAGTACTGCTCAAATCGGCCGTGCGCTATCGATAAAAATAAGTAAAAATCACAAATAGCAATGACTGGATCACATGAAGCATGGAGTAGGATTCCAGATTGAAAGTTTCCGAATGTTTCTTTATTGTTTCACAACAGATGGGCAAGCAATTTCATATTAAAAAATGACTTTGTCTTGTCTTTCTTTCATTCGGAGCGTTTTTAATGCTTGGCTGAAACACATCAATTGCAATCGATAACATTTACCAGTTTTTAGTATCTCGTAATTTTTTTGAGATTGGCCAAAGTCCTCATGGTCTTTTGCAGCAAAAGCACAGAATTTGATTTATTTAAATCATTTTTGACAAATTCTTTCAGCTCGTTCATGTGCCCTGTGAACTTCTACAAAAATTCTATGATCTTCATTTGCACTTTTCATCCAGTTGAAAAATGTACGCGAAACTTTCGCAAAAATTATTTTTTCATAACAGCATTCGGCATATTCAATGCTAAGCAAATTAAGTTTATCACACTTCAACAAAATAACATTAAAGCGTAATGGCATTTATCTGACATGAATAATTGTCAGTCTAATTCTTCTGATAACAATACCAGCCAGTGCCATCTTTCAGAAACCTGTATGAATTAAGTTTATTTCTCAATGGAACAATATAGGAATGATTCTCCTTTTTTATAAAATAAACTATGTAATAATTACTGAAGATGAAAAGTATCAACAATAATAACATCGCAGTTAAAGACATTTTATAGATTATTAGCTTTTCTTAGATAAATTGCTGAATATGAAGTCAGTTTTCATTCATAAATTTTAGCAGTTCAATGTGAACTAAGATTCTTTGTATTAGATACTCGTAGTAATTGATTCGCATGAATAATTTCTTCCTCCCTTTTTAGCATGATAGCAAATTTTTAACACGTCAAACAGCATATTTGTATATATATATATATATACAATGATGTGACATATTATTAGACCCATACCAGTAATTGTGGTAAAAATTATATGTAATAAAAGGCAACAATTACTACATGTTTTCATTAAATTTAGATGCGGCAAGTTCTGACTCTACCTGCAAAAATATTGTTTTAAGAACTGACAGCACTGAATAAATAAATAACACTTATTTTTTCGAATTGAGTTTTTCTGACTAATTTTTAATTCGGATGTGAACTGTTTTTATTTTGTTATTTATTCTTGATTACATAATAATATGTTATAGGCATTGAATAAGATTTTCTATTAAATAATATCATGTTTAAATATCAAATTTATGAAATTTTTGTTGTTTTTAACTATTTGAAACATTTTCATATATGTCATCAAAGAAAATCAGAGAAATATCTGGTTACAAATAAATAAGGTACCACAGTATGAAATTGCTGATATTCCAAAAGCGTGAAGAAGTATGGTAAAACACATTAAAAAGTAAATGAAATATGGTGACATCAAACGTAAAGAAAATTCCGAGAGAAAACGCATAACGACCTCACGCATAGACAAAAAAATCCGTCATACTTGCTGAGTATTCAAAAATTGTTAACGCGCATGCTAACTAAACATATTAAACACAGAGATATTCAAGTATCATAGCGTATTGTGCAGCGACGATTTGCAGAAGTTGGTTTTAAGGCAAGAAAACCACATCGCAAGTGGAAGCTTACCCAGGCGATGATTAAAAACTTGTTGGAATGGGCACAAAAATGCAAAAACTTTTCAGTAGAAGATTGTAAAAGGGCAAATAGGAATTGTGGTAATTATTATTCCTTATCAGTGTCATGAAAATTTATGTAAAGTCATAAATGATATTTTTTCCACAGGTTTGCTTTTCAAGACAAGGCCGTTTTCCAAATTATGACTGATAAGTCAAAGTTTGTAATGTATTTTTCGAACGGTTAAA